GATTCCATCCATAGCTCAGCGAGTGCACGCGCGGAGAGTTCTGTGGGAGGCTTGGAAATGAACACCAACACCAAAACAAGGGGTTGCCTCCACTGGGGGAAACTTATCCTAGATGTTGGTGATGGTGGTAATCGTCCGGCCATCGTGGAAGCCCGAATGTTACCACCATCGCCGAGATCTAGGTCATCTTCCTTCGGTGGAGGCACACCGCCGATATTGGCGTTAGTGCCAACCTCTAGGTATGCGATTCTGGCAAGTTCTTGGACGTCTAATCTACGGTTCTCAAGAGTTTGTGGCTAGACGTGTCTTAAAAGTGTGGGGAAGTCCAAAGTTTGACCTGCGCGCGTGGCGGTGCGCGCATGTGCCCCACAGTGCGCTTGCTGCAAAGGGTTCTCAGCACAACCACTTCTGGGATCAACGCATGCGCACCGCAGTGTATCATTGGACCAGGATCGGGGGTGATCGATACCGGCACTTCCTGGAATGGCATCGTTTGGAATTCAACGGTTACCGATCGCGCAAAACAAGTGGCACGTGTGCCCAGGCTCATACAAAAAAAACTGAAAAGGGCTTTTGAAGCAGTAAGACACCATGACTGCAGGATCGGAGATGGAGAAGGGGAAGCTGGGGCGGCGCCGCCAGGGCGTGCCTAAGAGAAGGGGAAGAGGCAGGAGGTGAACGCAAAAGAATCATAGATCGAGATCGCATTCGAGCGCAAGTAGGGTTGCCACATCTTGCGATGTGTGTACCAAGGCTCCCCAGGAAACCTCAGGAGGCCCGACTTGGATACCGGAAGAGGCTCCAGGAGGCCCCGGGATTGTGAGTGTTGTGTGTGTGTGATGTGCGCTCTGTGTTGTGCGTGTTTTCTGTGCGTTGTAGGTGTTGTGTGTTATGTTTGTCTAGCGTGTGATGTGTTGGGTGTTATTTGTGTCTCTGTGTGTGTGTGTGCATGTAGTTCTAAGGCCCCAGGAGGCCCCAGGCGGCCTCAGGAGGCCCCAGAAGACCCCAGGAGGCTCCGGGAGGCCCCAAGAGGCTCCAGGAGGCCGCAGGAGGCCCTGGGGTACCAGAAGGTACAGAAAGCCCCAAAGGCCCCAGGAGGTTCCAAGAGGCTCCCAAGAGGCTCCGAGGCGGGGTCTGGGGTACCAGAAGGTACGTCGGGGCTCGATTTTGGGAGGATGTCTCAGGCGAAATCGCCATTCTCTGAGAATCGGGGTCAAAATCATTGAAATTACAATGTGTTGTTGAAGGTTTTATGTTAGAATGTTGAAATTCCCATGTGTTTTTGGACCCTGACGTCACGATCTGCGTGAGGGGTGCCACCGATTTTCAGAATTTCGAGGATGTCCCGAGCGAAACGGCCAGAAAAATCGCGGACGCGGAGCCCCGCGTACGCATTAATCGCCTCTGAGCTCTACTCCCTCGGAGAGGTGCGTATGAGAACAAAGATTACACCAAAGAGAAACCCCAATCAGTGACCGTGAGACCGATAGTGAAGTCGATTCAATGAAATCGATAATGATATTGAACGTAAATCGTGAGATCGCTCGTGCGATCTCTAGTGAAATCGATTGTGAGATCGATAGTGAAATCGATTGCGAGATTGAGATCGATAGAGAAGTGGGTAATGAGATCGATGGTGAGACCGATTGATAAAAAGATCGACCAAGAACCCGGGAACCCGCCGCCCACCGAAATCGGCCCGGAACCCAGAACCAGGAACCTGGGAACCCAGAACTGGGAACCCGGGAACCCAGCCGCCCACCGACATCGGCCCGGAACTTTCGCCAAATCTTTCAATCTCCGCTAGGACCCCTTCAGTGCAAGCACTGATCGGGGAATGAAAAAACATAGCATGCGGAGGGAAGCCGATAAGTTTCACCTTGCTGGCATCCATGCGTGACCACCTCCAGTGTTCGTGCAAAACTTCCCAACCACCCACCCGCAACTTGTTGACAAAACTCAACTGAGCGACAGCAGCGTCAACGGTAAAAATGCTCAAGACGACGGTGGGGACGATGTCGACGACGATGATGTCGATAGGTGATGGAGCTGATGGTGGTAAAAGATGACGGTGGCAATGATGGCGCTGGCGATGATGACAACAATTGTGCTAGTGAGGCTGATGAGGACGCGCGCGCGCAGAAATCCTGACGTTCTGATAGAAGAGTTGTTTGAAAACCATTGATATTTCATATGTTGTTGAGCAATCCGTGTTGAAATGTCAAGAGAACCAATGTCTTTGCCAATATTTCGAGCCGCACGCACAAAGACGCGCGCGCGTAGCCGGTTTTCATTATTTCACAGAGTCGGCGGGTGCGCCGTGAGTTAGGAATGCATGCTTTCGACACGTGCACGTGTGGCCCGCATACTCTCGTGTATCAACACCGCAAAACCAATTTGGCGATCTTTTGATTCTAGTGAGCGCGCTAAGAATTACGACACCATGTCGTTGAACAAACAATAGTAACTGATAAATGTTGAATATATGTCTGGGGATTGTGAAAACACAAGTTGCGTGTGAATCGTGTTGGCATGCACGCGCGAAGGCGCGCGCATGTGGCCCGCAGGGTGTCATCTGATAGGGGTTGTTACAAAATCGCACTGGCTATGTAAAAACGCATTCGTGCAAAACGGCTGGGAATGACGGGGAGGTCGATGCTGGTTGGTTGGGGGCTGTAGTTGGGTAGTTAGGATGAGCGACCGTGCGCAATAATCACAAAAAGGAACAATACCATGGGGGGTAGCGCGAGTTACGGCCTCGGCCAGGGGCGAATAAAGTCTCATTCCGTATCAGAGGCGGCCTCGTTTTACTTCCGCCGCCTTCCGCCGCCTTCTGCCCCAGGAAGAGATGCCAACACCATCGATCCTCGAAGGTGAAGCCCTCTGGAACGCCTCACATGGCAACCATGGGCACCCATGGGCACCACAGGGGCGCCCACCACGGGGCACCGCAGGACACCGAGCGCGACTGCAGCGGCGACGGACCGAAAACCCGACACCAGTGTGCGCCCGCGGCGGCGATAAGCCGAACAGCGAGGCGGGAAGCCAACGGAGGCCACAGTGACACCAAGCACGCGCGGCCGACCCAGGAACGAGGAGGAGGAGGCAAAGAAGAAGGAGAAGGAGGAGGAGGAGAAGGAGGAGGAGGGGCGCAGGAGGCCACAGGGGCACACGGCGGCCCAAGCAGCCGAGGCCACAGCGGTCCAGAAGCACTCGCGGCCAACCCCGAGGGCAGGACACCAGCGAGGTGGGAGGCCACAGGGACCACCTACCAGACCGCCCCAACCCAACCCGAAGACCCGAATTTCGGGTTGGGGAGGTACGGGTTCCATCTGTGTTCTCTCAGTGTTCCTCGACCCCCTCCCCACTGGAAATGGAGGGCAAATCGAGGCCTTCGGGTTGGGTTGGGGTGGTCTGCTAGGTGGTGAACAGGGAGCCATGGGAGGGCATGGCGGTCCGCACAGAAAAAGCGTCGGCGGTCCGAGCACCGACGGTGAACCCCGCAAGACAGGCCCAGCTCCTCTGAGCAAGAGCAAGGGCCCCCAGGTGCGAGCACTGTCTGGGAATCTCTCTCGCTCGCCTTCGATTTCTACCAGAAGTGCCCCATGACCTTCAGCATCGGATGCGCTGCACATTGCGCTGGCACTCCGCATCGGCCGTGAGTGGCCACATACTTCTGAGCTTCAACCTGCGGCGAAAATGTTTGTGCGCGACTTACGTGCCTGGGCAACATCTGTAGCGGGGCGGCTCATCTTAGCTATTCTGGTACGGCGCGCCTCGCTCGGCGTACGATACGATGCGTTGGTTCAATTGCTCGGCGATACTGATGGTTCGTCCTTCTTCGTTCGGTGGACCGCCCCTCCCCACCCGAAACTCACGCTACACATATCGCGTGTGATCGGTAAGATGTACCAGAACGGCTGTATCTGCATCCTGCCGCGGCCCAGCGCTGCAGCATCGTGTCGAAAATCCAGACGCGCGGCTGCCCAGATGCGACTGAATGCAAAGTGGCTGTCTCTGTTAGCTTCGATTGACCCGTTGCCTGGTTAGCATCTGGCGGCCGCACTCTTCCCCGCACGCGCGATGGCTACAGAATCACCGAGAGACGCTAGGACTGGCACACGGATAGGCGAGGCTGTACTGGCCACCGTGGGGAAGGGCTGGCGGGGCGCAGGGAAAGTGCAGGGGCGTCATCGCGAGCGTCATGAGATCTACAGGTTCAGTGGCGACGCTCCCAGGGGCCAGCGGGAGGATGTGCGCCGAGGGCTTCATGCCTCCTCACGCTGCCGCAGACCACTAGAGGGATAGCGGGGGACAACAAACACCCGTTGCCACAAAAGAACAAAAACCAACAAATAAGAAACAAAGGTTGTCACAAAACACCGGAAACCAAAAAGAACGGGGAAAGAGGGGAAAGAGGGGACGAGCCGAAGAGATGGATTGCGCCAAGCACCGATGAATGCTCCTGCAAGCTGCCCAGAAACGCTGCGAGCAAACGAGACGATAAAGCCATGGCCAGCACCACGCCTGATGTGCAAGGTGGCCAGGAGGTGCCAAGAACAGGTGCAAGACACCTGATGCGCAATGCTGACACAAAGTGCCATCAGCCAGCGAAACACGAGTATCTTATTTGAAGCACTGACTGCGAACAGAGCACCTCTGGATGTCTCTGGTGAAGCATTGGCTTAACGATGTGCTGAGCCTCCGCGGAGTGCCAGGAACTGCGGCACAGGCCCGCACCGATCAAGTCATGGCTAAGACTGTGTCCGATGACGCATCGATACCAAGAGCCGCCGCAAGCACCTACGCATCCCGCAAATGCGACCTTGCTGGTATTGTGTCTGCGCTCCCTATTGAGCTGGATGGGCGTATCCGCTGTCCTCCTCCTCCTTTTCCTATTCCTCCTCTTCCCCCTGCCCCTCCCCCTCCCCCTACGCGGTGAAGCAATCACCAAACGACGCATCCCGCAGACGCGGCGACGAGCGCGGGCGAGCGACGGCCTCCCGCTGGGCGCTCTCCCCCTTTGCCGGCAGCAGCTTCAACACCTCTCGCGGCAGACTCTTCAACGCCTCTGGGCGAGCGGGCATCCGGATCCTTCCCACCTCCCCACCGTCCTCCCACAATCGACCATATAAGCGCACATCAACCGTCAGAAGCGGGTCCGGGCCTCGGCCGTCTCCAGTGGGGCCAGGCCGCTTGGAACTGTGATGGCATGTGCTGGGAGAGTCTCCCAGGCTTGGAGCAAGTTCCCTTAGAAAGGGCCCAGAGGAGAGGGCGGAAGAGCTAGGGGAGCCCGAGATCAGAGCCAATGAGATCGGACGAGACCTCGCACGTCAAATCCCACCAGGCCTCTGGGCGTGAGAGTTTTAGGGCGTGTGCCCGTTTCCTCTTCTATCTTTCATTGTCCCTCTTCCCCTTTGAGGCAGAGTTACAACTCACCCTGCCCTATCCTCCTTGGTCTGGAGGAAGGGGTTCGCGACCCATTGGAGCGTCCAAGACGGCGTCGGCGAGAAAGCAAAAACCAGTGCATTTTTACCTAACAGCGAAGACTAATAAGTTTCTAATGGGGTCAAAAGAGAGCATCTGGTGACTCCCCAGGGGGGTCTGGGCGGGAGCCGGACAGGCGAGAACCGGGCTCGTTTTAAGCAAACAGTCACACACTTCGTGCTCTTCGACCTCCCAGAACTCCATTCCCGGGCCACATTTTGAATGCCCGGAGCCAACTGTAGGCCACTTCGTGCTCTTCGACTTCCCAGAACTCCATTCCCGGGCCACATTTTGGATGCCCGGAGCCAACTGTAGGCCACTTCGTGCTCTTCGACTTCCCAGAACTCCATTCCCGGGCCACATTTTGGATGCCCGGAGCCAACTGTAGGCCACTTCGTGCTCTTCGACTTCCCAGAACTCCATTCCCGGGCCACATTTTGAATGCCCGGAGCCAACTGTAGGCCACTTCGTGCTCTTCGACTTCCCAGAACTCCATTCCCGGGCCACATTTTGAATGCCCGGAGCCAACTGTACGCCACTTCGTGCTCTTCCACTTCCCAGACTTCCAAGACATCATCATCTCATCATCATCATCATCGTCCCCGTAGCCTTCTTGGCTACAGCCCTGCTTTCGAAGATTTCCTTTCAAAGGAACTGCGAGAACACCAGAATTCTACAACAGCACTCTTACATGAATACCACAGGCAATGTTTCCAGCTATGCTTCTACACATCGCTGTTAGGTTGCTTTGCCGGGATAATTAATACATGATCCGCACGCGGAGCATGTATTGAAAACGGCACTGTAAGGTGTCGGGCCCATTTGGGCCTCCCGGGGGGGATGTAATTTACTAGCCCTCCCTTAGTTGATCGATCTCCTCCAAGATGGCCTCAAGATGGCCCCCAAAGCTCCCAAGAGTGCCCAAAGAGGCGCCCAGGAGGCCACGAGAGACCCCCGAGAGGTTTCCAAGAGGTCCCCAAGAGGCTCGCAGGAGACCCTTAAGAGGTCCCAAAGCGATCTTCCGAGGCACCCTAGACGCTCTCAGAGGCCCCAGAGACCACCAAGAGGACACCAAGACGTTCCAAGAGCAATCAGAAAAGAGTCCAAGCATCCAAGAGGCCTCTGGCCATTTTGCTTGCGTTCCTCCTCCTCCTCCTCCTCCTCCTCCTCCTCCTCCTCCTCTTCCTCCTCCTCCTCCTCCGCCTGCTCCTCCTCCTCCTCCTCAGCCTCCTCCTCCTCCTCCTCCTCCTCCTCCTCCTCCTCCTCCTCCTCCCCTCATCCTCATCATCAATATAATCAGCATCTCATCATCATCATCATCATCATCATCATCATCATCATCAGCAGCATCATCAGCATCAGCATCATCACCATCATCAGCATCATCAGCATCATCAGCATCATCAGCATCAGCATCAGCAGCAGCAGCATCAGCATCAGCATCAGCATCAGCATCAGCATCATCATCATCATCATCATCATCATCATCATCATCATCATCATCATCATCATCATCATCATCATCCACATATTCCTCCTCTTCCTCCGCCTCCCCTCCCTCCTTCCTCCTGTCTTTTCCCCATGCCGCCCGTTCCCTCCCCCTCCTCCTCATCCTCCCCATCATCCATTATCCCTCTCTTGGGGTACGACGGCTTCCCCAGCCCAGAATTCCACTGCATGCTCCTCCACATTTCTGATCATGGCAACTCGCCTGGGCAACGTTTCCGGATGGACTGGCACGGTTACGCGAACCGTCTAGAAAATATAACTTCGACGGCCACCCTTCGAATACTAGGCGTGCGCATCTGATGGTTGTTGCGATTGGTGCCCGATCCGAACCGCGACCTGCCGGTCTCACCACACATCTGGCGAAAGATGTGTATATACGCATACATATACATACATATTTCCATACAGTGTATACATAAACCTACATATGTACCAGCATCACTGACTACGGTTTGGTATGACGACCGACCGTTTGGCTAACGATCCATCCGCCAGTATCACGACTTATTCGTCGCACACACACACACACACCGATTACATTTGCATGCGTGTACCGCTCGGCATTTATCTGTTGTACTATATCGGAAGCATAGTTTTGGGCATCCCTTTCTAACTATTTCCGTCACCGTGCCTTCGGCACGTAGCGGGATACCCCAAGGCGCATGCAGTTCTGCCAGGTAGAAGGCCCATTGTTCTTAAGGGCCCAGATCCCGGGTGTCCGAGGCTGTCTTGGGTGCAACTGTGCCATCTCAGCGCGCGTCGCCGCGGATTTCGGATGCCAAGAAAGCCCCGAGACGGACGAAGAGGACCCCCGTAGGCCCGCAAAACGATCGGAGAGAGTCCCGAATCGTCGAACGATTGGTCCGAGGCCCAACATGGCCCCCAGACGGCCGATGATGCCCCCAAAACCGCCCCAGGAGGCCTCCAAAAGGCTTCCCAAGAGATCCCCAAGAGCCAGAACCCTTTGTTTTTTTCCCGTGGGTTCTTGAAGCATTTTCTGGCGTTTTCGACATTTCTGCTTCCCGACGCCCCAAGACGGCCCAAGAGGCTTTCCAGACCAACCCAAAACGGCCCAAGAGGCCCCAAGAAGGGCCTCATAACGGCACGTATTGGCTTCATGATCGTGGACGCCACTTCTCAGCAAACGTCCTCAATGCACTCGGTGGGATCAAACGGCGAATGGCAAATGCACGAACTGATTGGCTTGAGCACGCGTGGGCCGACGCGCGGCCCTGGTCGTCGCGCGAGGGCGCCTCTCAGCACGACTCCACGGGGCCCCGCGCGGCGCGCGCGCACGGGGCCCCACGAACGCCCCGACAGCACGCCCTGTGGCGCAGCCATTAGCAACAGCGTAGACATATATTTCCATCTACTGCTCATGCCACTCGCTCCCCGCTGCGAACGTGAAGCACGAAAACTGTCGCCCGCGAGCCACCAAGGCGCCACATGACGGAACGCACGTGCTCGGCAATGGCGCGGGAGGTGCCCGCCCCGACCACTTGGGCACCAATGCCAACATCGCCCTGGTCGCAACAAGGCAAGGTCGGCGCCTCGGCGCCTCCCGAGCGCGCCGCACGCGACTGGGGAGATGCGTCGGGGCTCGAAAGCGCGACCTCAAGGCGAACAAAAACCTTGTTTTCTGACAACGGACACAGCACTAACGAATGCACTCCTAATCGCCATGGTCCAGAATGTGACCAGCGAGGCGCGGCCAACTTCTGCGGCCCCCGTGAGGCTGGCTCTCTCGACCCCGTCCAGAATTCTTTACATGTGACAGTCGGAACCGTTTGGGGGATCCCTGGTTCGTTTTGCCTTGGAGACTGCTGAGCAGGACTAACGGCGCTAGTGCTGGTGGGTCCGCAGATCGGGCGCCGTCGACGCTGCGCAGGCACTGGCGCGCGATAGCAAGGGCAGCGGCGGTGGTCCGCGGACGGGGTGCGCGTCGACGTTGCTGGGGGGCCTGATGGAGCCGCTGGCATTGGCGGCGGTTGCCGCCGACGCGGATGGGTTGCTCGCCAAGGCGCGCAATATTAGTGGCGGCGCGGGTTCGCGAGGGGATGGGCGTCGTCGCCGTGGAACTGGGCGGCGCCAGTCGGCGCCCCATGTCGGCGCGTCGCCGCGCAGGCCCCCTGCGAACACTACGTGCTCGTCCGCCGCGTCGGGCCTCAACGTCCACGGGTGGGAATACGTCACGACAGCGCGCGCCGACCGAGCCGCTTCTCCAGGGCGCCCGCGAGGCTCGGGCGCCCCAGAGAAGGTGGGCGCCATGGGCCTCTTGTTGCGTTTCAGGACCCATGCGTGGCGGAGGCGGGCGCGCCCTTCCGTCTCTGGACACGGCGCCCAATCGCCGCCTCCGTCTTTCTTCACCACGTAGTCCTCTCCAGGTACCAGGTCCTCCTCTTGTTTCGGGTTCCTGCAATTCTGACGCGCCTTGCCCTTGCCCCGCTCCGTCAAAACTGCGCGATGGCGAAGATGTTCCGCGACCATCATTCTCGTCTGATTGCTATCGTCGGCGCCCAGTGCGTTGCGAACTCGCAGGGGGACAGGTGCCACAGGTCGGGAGTCTGCGGTCGCAGCCCACGCAACATGGCCACGTCTCGAAGGGTCACTGTTCGGCGCCTTGAACGCCGCATGTCCACTTCGGCAAACTGCGCTTTGCGGCCGCCTGTGGCCTGGTCTGCAAGGCGCTCCACCTCCACGTACTCTCGACCGTACAAGGCTGTGGTCTGGCACGACTTCGACGATTCCGCCGCAGTGACGTCATTCTCCCTCGCGAAGGCTCTCAGGTTCGTAGATTTCACTTGCCCGCGCACGATGCCCTTGCCATACGCGTCGCTCACGATTCGGTTCGCCACCCGCTTGCCGATCCGATTCACGTTTTCTCCCTGGAGCTGCCTGCCGATCTTCTCGGCCCCCTTGCAACACTCTTCCACTTCGTGGAAAGCCATGGGCCGCCGCTTCGTGCAGTAGTCGCAGGCGCACCCAGCCTGAGAGCCCTGCGCCATCTGCACGACTGTGATGATCGCTCCGTCGTCGAGCTTCTCATCGCACGCTGCCCCGCAAGTGCAGCAGA